ATCTTGAAAATCAAGCTTTAAAAACTGTATGGATTCCAAAATAAATATTTCTTATTTATACTTCATAAGCCCAATAGCTTTTTGGGTTTATAAACACATTCATATTTTCAACTTGTGTTGCCTTTGGCTGCCAAGTTTCTCCACTTGGTAATCAAAGTATTCGCTTGCTGAGGCAGTCTGGGGACTCTTTTGGCCTCTTCACCATGGCAACGGCTTTATATCAGTTAAATTTCTGTAGGAAATGGGTTAATGTCTCTTCCTTTATTCGTTTCCTATTTTTCAGGATGAATAGTTTATTTGATTAGGTCAGGTTACAACTCTTGTAATTGCTTAGGTGTTGTCTTCTCATGTTCATCCTTTCTTCTGTTATTCGTGTTGATTTTGACTTTTGCTCTAAGTTTATAGTCTGATTACATAGAGACGGCTGATTTAGAAATGATTTTCACATTAATAACCATTTGTTTCCCATCTTTTATGATAATAATTTTTTTGGTATGTGATATTACTGAGCATATTACTCAGCATTATCCTCAGCCTACTTTTTTTCACTTAAGAATGTCTTTACTGAAGTTTGTATGTTTAAAAAAGAAAAAGATTTTCCCTATATAAAAAGAGGGCATATTGCCTTTATAAAAAGCAGAATGGAACAGAAGACAAAGAGCTGGGTGTCTTCCCAGAAGTCAGCATTTCCTGCATTGCTGGCTGGCTTTCCTGGCCATCAATGATGTGCATTACCCAGGGTTGGGTGCCTTCTTCTTGCTCCAGGTGTCTGTCCACCCAGCTTGCTGATGACTCTTATGAGGACATAGAAGTTATAGGGATGGAGCGATGCACTAGATTTTCCCCACAACTGTCAGGAATTTAAAGTTATCTTGATATCCTTCTGATCCAAGCAATGAAGAGGTTTCTTTCAGGGTAAAAGAATCAAGAAAGTCTCTTTCCCTGGTGTAAGATACAAGCACCCACCATGTGGAATGAGATCAATAGCACACATTTGTGGAATAAATGCAATCTGTCACACAAGTCTGTTTTTATTAATGTGGAATGGATGAATAGAATTTCATAGGTCAGGGTGAAAAGCTTGGGGCTTATTTTCTTGCTCATGGTTCTTCAGTTTATCTGCCTTGACATGGTATCACCACTTCAGACCTACCTGGTTCCCCTTTGTCCTTAACTTTTTAGACCAGTGAGCTACCCAGCCCCATTTGGACCTACCAGTTGATATACAACCTAGGCCTCTAAGGCTGATCACAGCCTAACATTTAAAGCCCTTCACAATCTAGCTCCAGTATACCCTTGCAGACTTAATTCACATTGCTCCCCTTCATACACTCTAATTCATGACAAATTGGCCTGTTTGCTGTTCCTTGAACCTGGCATTCCTTCTACTACTGCTCTACCACAGATTGCTCCACATACCTGGGATATATTGCAACCTAATCTCCCCCTCAGAATTCTTAGCTTCCTTCAGGGCTCAATTCAGGTGCCACTTCCTGTAATAAGCATTTTCTTGATCTACTAGTGATTGTTGCTCTCTCCTTCCTCATTTTGTATTTACTTCTAATACTTGGGGTATGCCCTTCTCACATATGGGCCCCAAAAATAGCAACCCTGGGTTCAAGATATTCTATAAATCCGCAAAGACTCAAATTCATAGCTCCTGAGTGCCTACCAATGTGTTATGTGTTTACTTTTTCCTTTAGTGAAACACAGGACATACTTAGTCCATAGCAGAGTAATTTCATGAAATAGCCCAGTAAGAAAAGTCAAGTCAAGTCAAATCAAGAAGTATTTATTGAGCACCTACACTGTTCTAAAAGCTGGGGATACAAAGAAAGGCAAAAAACAGTGCCTACTTTCAAGAAGCTCAATCTAATGGAGGAGACAACATGGAAAAAAAACCAAAAACTATGTACAAATAAGATATACACAGGATAAACTGGAGATAATCTCAATACATTTGTTCCATCAACCTAGGATACACATTTGCATAAATGTACATCAGTAAGGAAAATGCATGTGCATAGAGATCATACATGAGAGGGCAACAGATAATGTATGACCACTGATGTCCCTTCAAACATCTGGCCTCCCAGTTTACCAATCTCTTCAATTCCCATCACCTATACGTTCATTCCACCTGTTACACACAGGACAATCCTGTCCCTTTTCCCTGAGCAGAATATAATGCAAGGTCTCTGAAAGGTCCCCTCAGTTGTGGGGGAGGGGATTCTATGCCTCCACCTGACACTCAACCCTGGGCTGCCCAAAGTTGCCCCTCCACCCATGATTGTACCTGATATAGAGAAGCAGAGCCTCTCCAACAGGTCCTGTCCCCAGACTGCTCCTTATTTTGGGATTAATCTGCCAGGAATCTGTAGTGTCCTTCTTCCCTCCCCCCTGCCCCAAACATGATTTCAGCACCATGGGGCACAACCCCTTTTGCGTAGCTCTAGTTTCAGCTCTGCACTTGGTCCATGCAAGAGAATGAAACTCTGACCTTGTCCTCATTTATTTCCCATGCAGTTATTAATCAACTCTACCAAGAACAGTCCCAGTGATCAACAGTGCAAAAACTAAATAGGAAAAATTTTGCTTTGACTATCCTATTTCTTCCCTGTTGCTGGTTCTTCCTCTATTCTAAGAGGTGCAGATGGTTCTTATACTACTCCCTGGCTGGCAAAAGGTTTGCCATCCTTTTCCTTTGTATAGGCCTCATGTCAAAATTGACCTTTTCTGTATTTCATTCTCCATGTTAAGTTGCTTTCTGTTTTAAGTAGTTTTGTAAGCTAATTCGAAAAGTTTACAGGTATCATTGTAGTTGCCAATGTTGACACACTATCTATCCCTTCTCAAATAATACATTTGCACTTTAGGAGACACAATGACAACTCTCTCGGTGAATTTTCCAGATACCCTGGCAGGTCCAGAGGAAGATGTTTTTAAACAGGCACACTTTTTGATTGGCCTCAAAGTAGGATTGACCAAAAGTAGGATTCTATGTGAGGAAATTCCTTTGTTTCTACTCTGGTCATTATCAATGTTCTGATTGCCTGGACGAAAATAGCATAAATACACTGCCGATCTGATTAAAAAAAGATTTGCTTAGACAGTTGATATACTGCTCTTCCAAACTGAACACGGCATTGCTGATGATTCTATATTCTACTGATGTTATACTTCACCAAATAGTATAGCATGTATAGGGGATACCAAAGTCTTCTGAAGGAATCTATTCAATTCCATCATTAATCACCAATACTCCTTTGAATTTCATTATATCACCCCACTTCAACGATGAGTAAAGTGACTTAGATCAACATAACAAGTCAATGGAAGTAACAAGACTAGCATCCTTGCTTCCTGATTTAATTTAGTTTTCCATCTAACATTCCCTAAAAACTTCATTTATGCTAAATAATTCCACTGTAACTTTTGGATTTGTTACAAAAGGCAAGCAAAGACTTAACAATCAGCCCCCTTATGTACCAGGTAAACAGTCACTGTTTTGAAGGGAGGTGAAGGAATCCAGAGTTGTATCAAATTAATCATTCAGAACCTCCTTGTAGCAAACCCGGTTAGGTCTCTGCAGACCATATTCTTTTGGCACAAGTTAGCTCAGATTTTTGTGTTAATATTAATTAAAGAGAGCTGTCTGAGGGAGAGCTATGGATATGTTTAACTCATTTTTAAAAAGCAGGTCAAATTTTACATCTGATGAATAGCTTGAGCCTGGTAGAAAATTACTGAGCATGTTTAACATGACATTCAGTGAGATATACACTTTACAATGTAAAATTCTGGGATGAATCCATTTGGCCCCAGAGTATTTTCCACTGTCTATTATTTCAGGTTTGAGAAAATACATATATAAGGGGAAAAGAGAGCACAATACAATGGCAAAAATATAGGGCAAAGCTTATTAGGTCTACCCTACCTCCTTCCAGTGTAATTAAAGGTCTCCTTGCAGCTTAGCAAAGCTTCAGTGTAATCTGCAGTGGGCTGGGACTTACCTGTCAAGAACATGACAGGAGTTGAAGGCAAGTGGGGAACTTCCAGTTGAATGGAGAGTGTGGTTGAGCAATAAGTCCTGACAGACCTGAGAATCTCTTTGGTGTGCCAGTTGGGCATGGTTGCGCGCCTAACAAAAGAGCTGAAAATATGTTGATTAGCCCCAGGAATGTTGGCTGGGCAGTTTCACAAAAGAATGCTAACCTCCCCTTTGAGGAATAAACTCTATTAGCAGCAGATGGCAGCAGCAACTGGTCAGAGAATCAATAAATATTACACTCTGAAGGTGAAATAAACCAACAGCAAACCACAGCTATAGCAAGGAGCAAGTGTGGGAGGTATCGCAGCCAGGATACACCCTTAGGAGCATATGTTGTCCTGGAATTGCTCCCTTTCCCACAAACAGAACCAGAACATATAGGAAATCATACCTCTTTGTGATTGAGGGATTTCCATATTATATACTTGCTATTCTATCTTAAAATCTCCTATTTGATTTATGGTCCCTGGTCTGCTAGTAGACCATACACTGGAAGGGGGCTTGAAATATATTTGCATAACTATGACTACATACAACATCTGGCTTGGAGTTAGTAAGGGGTTCTAGAGTGGTATGGGACCTGTGTTATAAAGGGTTTTCTGTTTTCCAGCCTTTATGTCTTTTAAAACTAGGAAATGGTTTGACATCGCTATGGGGGGAGGGAGGAATTTTTTTTGTTAAAGAAACATAAAAAAGGTAAAGATATCAAAATCAGGTTGGGGCAGAGCTGGCTACACAGATAACTGATACATAAAAAATAAAAAAAATTGATTCATTTTGCTTATCTCCAACATAGCCTCTTTGGGTGCATGGGCAGGGATGGGGTGAAGATACACCATGAGAATGAGTAGGAGAGGGCATCCCTTTTCCCTTGCAGGACCCTCTTTATCTGCGCTAGCAACTTCAGTCATTAGTGCAGAATGGCCTCTCTTTTAAAATAAAACTTCTAAAGCCAAGACTACATGACCCCCAGCAAATCCTGATTAGAACTGCCCTCTATCCCTCACTCCCCTCTGTGGAACCAGCCCATGTCCCTGAGAAGGAGTTGAAGAAAGGAAGAATATGGTATGTGTATGTTTGGGGTGGGGAGTGGGGGGTAAGGGGTGGCTGGGTTTCCCTACTCCTGTGCCAGGATCATGGAGAAGCAAAGGAGAATCAAGGGGACCCTCAAAGCAGTCCTTAGTGAGAGAGGGGTGAGGTAGAAGATGGGTAAATGCTGGCTCTTAGGGGGAGGCTGGTAGAGGAGTGTTTGCCCTCACAACAGCCTTTCCAGTGCAGATCGACAGACTCTCCTACACAACATAGGGGAAAGAGGTAGGGTACAGGGACCCTTGGGCCAACTCAGTGCATAGAGACCCAAGGAAAATGCAGGGTAAAGGGGTGCTCAGTTACTGCTTCCTCCCCAAAGACCAAGGCTTTAGGCAGCAGTATTGGCAACGGCCCTCATAGACCAAGACATCACAGCCAGGAGAACGCTGGCCCTGATGCCAGCTGTCAGGCCAACCAGGGCACAGGCGGTAGGCTTCCAGGTTGCAGATGAGCTCTATCACCTCATCCACAGTGGTGAGTCGTAATGGGTGGGCAGAATAGAGCTCATGGGTGGGTGGCACTGGGACATCGCGGACCACCACACGGAAGTACAGGCCTGGCTGGATATGGATAACTGCAGCAGCCACAGTGGACAAGATGGAACGCTGGATGAGGCAGAGGTCTGGTCCCCTTGTTGGCAGCACTTCCCAGTGGGCAGGCAAGGGCAGCTCATTCAGTTCCATTAGAAACTCCTGTAGGACACTGTCCAGGGTTCCAAAGAGTCCTGGGGTGGCCTTGCCCAGACTATAGATCTCCATGATCACCGGGGTGCTTGCAACTTCCTCTTCTTCCAAGTCTTCCTCCTCTTTCACAGTCTCTTGTGGATGGGCCCCATTGGCTTCCTTGCTGGGCAGGTCAGGAAGGAAGCTAACAGGGGGTGATAAGGTAGCTTCAGGAGCCTGGGACCCAAAGTTCTTTATCTCCTGCTTCAGTTGAGGAGATGCACTGAATGCCTCAAGTCCTGGAGACTCACACTCCTTTAGGTCATTGTGGTGGGTGTCAGGGGGCAGAGAGGACTCTGCCTTGGTACTGGGCTCAAGCACTGGATTGTTCTGGTCCCCCTGTGGGATGACCAAGCTGGTCTCCTGCAGCTGCACACAATTAGTGTCCAAGTCCTCCTTCGGCACAGGGTGCTGCTTCTGCCTAGGCCTCCTGCTCTGGGGCTCAGTGACCAGCCTCTGGGCGAGGCGGGCCCTCGATCTGGCCCAGCCTGCACGGAAGGGCCGGCTACCCAAAGTGCCCTTCCTGAGGCGGGGCAGCTGGCGCCGGACCACGGAGCTGTCTCTCAGGGCCGGCAGCAGGCGCTTGACGGCAAAAGTTAAACACTGTCTCCAGCGACACTTCTGGCGTTTCTGGTTAGAGCCCCCGAACTTGGGCTTGTCCAGGCAGAAGTCGCACTCGCCGCAGTCCAGCAGGCGCAGGCAGGCCGCACAGGTGCCGCACTTGCGGCTGTGGCGCGGCCGCCGGTAGAGGCGATCGGCGGCGACCACTGGGCCGCCCGCCTGGGCCGGGGGCGCGGGGGCTCGCCGGCGCCGGCTGGGGGCCTTCCGAGCCCCCGAGCCCTTGGGTCTCTTCTTCGGGTGCTTCTGAAGGCAGCGCCTTCCCAGGCACCGCCAGCGCCGGACAAGGTCCGGTTTCCCCTCGCGAGCGCAAATCCAGCAGGCCCCGCAGTCGTCCTGGGCCTGGCAGCCGGCGCACAGGCCGCAGCCGGAGCCCCGAGCCCCCGCCTCGAGAACCCGCGGCTTCGAGGCAGGGATGGCGGCAGCGGCGGCGGCGGGGCTGGCCGTGGCCTCGGACAGGCAGGCCAAAGTGACGGCACTGGCCGCAGCGATAGCGCCGGCCACCGTAATGGTGGTGGCGGCGGCCCCCGCGATGTCCGAGCGGCCATCGGGCCCCCCGCTGGGCGCGCCTTTCCCCGGGTCCCCCGGCTCACCGGGGGGGTCACTCTTCTGAACTTCGTAGCTCTGGGTCTGAAGCCACCGCTGCCGCCACCGCCGCCGGGGATGCCCGCTGCGGTCACTCTGGGGGGCGTTGGCGGCGTCGCTCCGGGGGGCCTCGGCGGGGTCGGCCTGGGGAGTCCCAGCGGGGTCTCTGGGCACAGGGACCTCGACGCCGTCGGCTGGGAGCAGTCCCGCCGGGGGCCCCTCGGGATCTGGCTGCTCGGGGGGAGGGGGCGCTGCTTCCTTTCTGGGCCTTCCTTGTCCTCGTCGCGGCCTCTGAGTCTCGTTCTGAGGCGGTGCTGCCTGCGCGGGCGAGGGCTGCACAATCCCGAGCTTGAAGTGAAAAGTGCTGAGATCCCGGCCCGGCCCCAGGTAACGGGCCAGCTGCACTTTGCTGCGGATCTGCTGGCCAGACGGGCTCAGATAGTAGGTATCCGAGAGGCCGCAGGTGGCTCCCTTTTTTCGGAAGTTCTCCCGCCTCTTCCAACCCGGGCCTAACGCGGGACAATCGAACCAGTCCTTGGCCTTGGAGAAACGGCGCTCGGAGAGCGGGGAGCGCTTGGCTGCCTTGGGATCGACTCGGCTGCCGGGCTTGCGGGCCATGGTGGAGCGGGAGCAGGCTGGGCGGAATCTGCCCCGAGAATCCTTCGAGGCTGGCGCCTCGGGCACAGGCCTGTTGGAGACCCCGTGCGTGCTGACCCCCGGAACCGGAACCGGAAACACAGCCCTGCCCCAGCTCTGCCCTGCCTCAACTTGATCCCAGCTCTGTGGGGGTAGGGGGAGGGAGAGGGCGAGGGAAAGGGAAGGGAGGGGGAGGAGAGGGAGTAACAGGGGTGGAAGGGGACGGGGGGGGAGGGATGGGGAGAGGTAGTAACAGGGGGGGAAGGGGAGGGAGGGAAGGAGGGAGGGGTGGGAGTTGGAGTGGAGGGGGAGGGAGGGGGAGGGAGGGGAGAGGAAGGGGGTGGGGGAGAGACCTTTAAAGAACCCAGGGCCGGGAGCGGTGGAAAGTGCATGTGCTCGAGTATCACAGCCCCCTCTCTCTCCACTTGAAAGGAGTTCTCTTACTGAAATTTATTGTTTGAAAAAATACATTAAAAATACCATGTAAACTGTAAACCATAATGTAAGTGTGAGCTATCATGCGAAGTCATTTAAAAGCCTCGCCTTTCATAATTTCCTACGAAATGAAAACTTTTCCCCTTGCTATCCCCAAAGCCTGGGGAGTGCCCTGTTCCGTACAGGCTCCTGGGCTCAGTGAGCCCTGGTTTGGTCCTGGGGGAGCCCGACCCATGAAACACGGAAATCACGTTTTTGTGTTTTTTCCCTTACACTTTCTGGCTTCATCCTGGAGTTCCCAGAAAAGCTCTTAAACAAAGCTTTTGTCCAGGGTCTCCCCTGAAAGGGGTTCACAGGGTTATTTCTAGAAAACATACCCCATGTATAAAATGATATCAAGCTTATGACAGCTATTTTCTCTATAACAAAAAGAAATGGTTAAAACGCAAAAGACTCAAAAAAATGCACATTAACAAATATTTAAACCTGAAACAATAATCCATCGTTCCTATCCTTTCAGAAGACAAAACACTTTTTTTTTGTTTTTGGAAACAATAATCCATCGTTCTTATCCTCTCAGAAGAAAAAATCCTTTTTTTGGGGGAACTCTCGAGACAATATTTCACTTTCCTCTCTGACCTATGCTGTCTGCTGAACTCCTAAGTTGGGGCTTTCTGGAAAGCTGGGGAATGGTGTGGGCTCTCTCAACTTTTTTCAGCTGCAGTTCCCTCTTAGGGGCTTGTTTTCTCCATTGAAAAAGCACTGTAGTTGCGGGAAGCACCACCTCCTGGGCCTCTGACATTGACCCAAGAACCTTCAACTTCTTGAATTCATAATGTAGTTGCCGAGGCTAGAAACACTCATCTCAGAATCATGGCTCAATTACTTAAGCTCAGGAAAAGAAATACACAGCACAGGAGGCAAGTCCCCCAAGAGACTTGTCCTCTTTGGTGATTTCCCAGGTATACACAGCTTTTTGTTGTTCTTCAGTTTTCAGTTGTGTCCTACTCTTTATGACCCTGCTTGGGATTTTCTTGGCAAAAATGTTGGAGTGGTTTGCCATTTCCTTCTCTGACTCATTTTACAGATGAGGTAATTGAGGCAAGAGACTTGCCCAGGGTCTCACAGCCAGTAACTGTCTGAGGTCTGATTTGAACCCAAGATGAGTCTTCCTGATTCTAGGCCCAGCACCCAATCCACTGTGTCACCCAGCTGCTCTATACACATCTAAGGAGCAGCATTTGAAAACCTTCATCCAGGGTGAGAAAAGTCACAATTCTTTTATCTCCATTTCATCCTTTTTATTTTTCCATCATTTCATCTTTCCCTTTTGCCTTCAAGCAAAGATTTGTTGTGACAAGTGCAAATTGACCTACTAAGTAGCTCAATAACTGGAGCTAGTGGGGAGAGAGCCCTATTGTCTATGTGTGAAAAGAAATGGGATTAGAAAAACAAAGTCTTTGTTACTAGTCAGAACCTAAGACTATGGGTTTCTTCTCTAACACAGAGTCCCAGGTGAGGAGACTATTGAGAGACTTTGCTGTGGGTAGCTAGATGGTGCAGTGGATAGAGTTCTGGACCTAGATTCACTTTCCTGACTTCAAACCTGGTCTCAGACACTTACTAGCTGTGTGACCCTGGGCAAGTCATTTAACTCTATTTGCCTCAGTTTCTCCATCTGTAAAGTGAGCTGGAGAAGGAACCAAACAACAATAGTAATTGGGATATTTTGTAGGTGGTGAAAAGTGCCAGACTGATAGTTATGGGGTTGGCTTTTGGGAAATACTGTTAACCTGTGATTCTGGAGTGTTAAGGTTGCTCTAAACCAGAGTATGTTATAGTCAATATTTACATCAGATATACTTTTTGAATGATGGAGTAGCCTTAGGTCACAGTGTGGTATAGTATAGTACCTACTACATTGGATAGATTTCTGTGATATTGGAATGACAATGGGCCATGGCATGGTACAGTGGGCCTTGTACCAGATGTGCTCCTGTGTTAGCAGGAGGGCCCTGGGTCACAGTATGGTCTAATAGACATTGAAGCAGCTATACTTCTGGAGGGGTGGGGTGGCAAGAGGCAACAATATCATGCAATAGACATTATCCCAGATGTACCTCAACACTTCAGGAAATCTGTGACTGCATTTGTGTGGGCATCCTCCCCACCGATATTATCATTACCTCTCTATGACTCAAGGAGATGGTTTTCATGAAAAAATGCATTATCTGATGGTCAGCTTCCTGACAAAATCTCTGAGCTGAGCTAGACTGGTCCTCAGGTAGCAGACATACATACTGTTGACTGACTATTACTGGAAACTTTTTTTTTAAAGCTTAATTGGGCTTGCCAGAACTTATGATCAGCTGGCAGAGGCTTTGAGGGACATAGGATTGTCTCCACACCATGATGAGACATCCAAGAAGGATGTTAGTGGAGCTGTGTCAGATGTAAGATAGGAAAATATCAAAAAGAATTCAATCTGCTCTGTTGACATAATGGATACATTTCTATTTGATTTCTTTTGCATAGCTATATTAGGACTAAATATAGATCTTAGAAACTCTTATTTAGTTACTTTTTCCCCTGAGCTTTCATAGAACCATTATCATTGTGAAACATGGTAGATGTGAGGCTGAGACCATCAGGCAAGGCCAAGAAAAGTAAAAGTAGAGAGGGGTCATGCACTGAGATAGCAAGCTGTTGGTTATAGAGCCCACAGTTGCCCGTGTTTGGGACAAATCATAAGTTGGGAAGCCAGGCAATAAGGACAGGAAGGAAGAACAAATAATACTGAAGGGTCCTCAGCAAAGAAGGTGATAGAAAGCTAAGGAGTCTGTAGTTACCAATAACCAGGGAAAAGACAGAAAATCATCCAAAGGTTGAAAGGCCAGCTACTTTTTAGATGACAGGAAGACAAAAGATCTAGAATCTAGGTTGTGAGTTAGAATGAGTGTAGGGTAGAACTTCCCAACCTTTATTCAGGGATTTCTTTGACTTTTCAGTAAACCTTCCTGTATCATCTATTCAATATGAAAGAGTTTACCATGAATATACACTTAAAATAGATCATTTTTTTGCCTTCAAGAGCACAGCAAAATTTTTTGTGGCTCCATTGATTGTTAGCAATTTGGAGTTTCTGGAGTATTTCAATAGTATAATATAATTGTTTAATAAATATTTTCTAGAACCCCCTTGATAAATTTCTCATTCCATCACCCCTTCTGTTCTCTAGGGGTATATATACTCCAGGCTGAAAACTTGAGAGCGTCATTGATCAGATCATTTCGGAAGTCATTCTCAGGTGAATCCTTTCTGACTTAGATCCATATATATATATATGTTGAGTAAGGTTGGACCTTGGGGAAATATGCCTGTGATTTGGGGCAATGAAGAGGAATCTGCTTTTATAGGTGAATTATAGTGGGGATGAGGAGTGGCTTGATCTGTGGCTGCAGGTAGATTATGAAAATCAGGTTGTAAGCTCTGATAGAAGTCCCTGAAACCCCAGACACTGTTGATTGTTGAAGTGCATTCCTTGGAACATCTCCACAACACTGACCACTTTGCAGAATTTCCATCTATTATGTATTATCATTCAGCCTGCTTACACATAGTCCAAGTCACATGTCACTTTGAAAAATGTTATAGTCAATTAGGGTGCAGAACAGCACTCCTATTTCCAGTCCCTCCATGGGGAGAACCTGAAATCTCTAGTCCCTTAAATTTGAATAGTAATGATTTCCCTGTTATCTGCCTTACCTCCAAGAGTCACCAAAGGGGAAGGATTAAGTATTGTAGAGATTCATTCCCATAATTGGGAGATGTGCCATTATCTACTATTCAGGCAGGAAAGGTACATTAAGGCCAAATCAGCCCTTCCTGTCAGGGCAGTTATCATCACTAGAATGTATCTTTTCAAAAAGGACCACTTGACAAGAAGGGATTGTTGCTGCAGTTTTCTAACATGATTTTAACTGCCTGGTTGTCTTCTTCCCAGTAGCTCCTACCTTACTCTCATTTGCCTTGGAATTTCTGTTGTCAATTTCAGTCAACAAACATTTATTAAACCCCTTATATACTAGGCACCATGCTAAGTGTTGGGGGTAAAAAAAAAAGGCAAAAAATAATCTCTTCTCCCAAGGAGCTCACAATCTAATGGGAGAGACAACATGCAAACAACTATATACAAATACTATATATTCAGGGTAAATAGGGATGATCTCAGAGGGAAGAAAAATAACCATTTATATAGTACCTGCTATGTTCCAGGCACTGTGTTAAATGCTTTATAAATATGGTCTGAGGCTATATTTGAACTCAGGGATTTCTGACCCTAGGCCCAGAGTTCTATTTACTGGGTCACCTAGCTGCCTCAGAGGGAAGGCACTAAGGTTAAAGAGGACTGAGAAGGGCTTCTTGCAGAACGGAGGCTTTAGCTGAGACCTGACAGAAGTTGAAGAAGCCAGGAGGCAGAGATGAGGAGGGAGAGAATGTCAGGCATGAGAGACAGTTAACGAAAACGATCAGGGTTGGGAGAGTGTATGAAAAGCAGCAAGGAGGCCAGCGTGAGTGGATCTCAGAGTACTTGGAGGGGAGTAAGGCATAAAGGTAGGAGGGTGCCAGGTTATAAAAAGCTTTAAGAGCCAGACAGAAGATTTTATACTTGATCCTGGAGATGACAGGGAACCACTGAAATTTATTAAATAGGAGTAATGACATAGATCTGTGCTTAAGGAAGATCAATTTGTCAGCTGAGTGGAGTATGGACTGGAGTGGGGAGAGACTTGAGGCACTGAGATTAAACACCAGGCTATTTCAATAGTCCAGGCATGAGGTAAGGAGAGCCAACACCAGGGTGGTGGCAGTGTCAGAGAGAAGGGGAGTGTATATGAGAGTTGTTATGAAAGTAGAAATGACAGGCCTTGACAACTAATTGGATATTAGGAGGTAAGAGTGAGGAGTAGAGACTGACACCTAGCTTGGGAGCCTGGGTGTCTGGGAGGATGGTGGTATCCTAAACAGTAATACCGAAGTGAGCAAGAGGGGAGGATTTGGAAGGAAATGCAATGATTCCAGTTTTGGACATGTTAAGGTGTCTATAGGAGATCCAATTTGAGAAATTAGAAATGTGAGTTTGGAGGTCAGGAGAGAGGTTAGGGCTAGATCTGAGAATCATCAGCCTAGAGATGATAATTGAATTCATAGGAGCTGATGAGATAACCAAGCAAAATAGTGTAGAGGAAGAGGACTAAAGACAGAGCCTTGGAGGCCACCCACAGTTAATGGGTGTGACCCAGGTGAAGATCCTGCAAAGGAGACTGAGAAGAAATGTTCCAGTAAATAGGAGAACCAGGAAAAAGCAGCATCAGGAAAACCCAGAGAGAAGAATCTCAAGTAGAGGAGAGTAATTGACAGTGTCAAAGCTTGCAGAGAGGTTGAGAAGAACAAAAATTGAGAAAAGGCCATTAATTTTGGTAACTGAGATCATTGGTAACTTTGAAGAAAGTAGTTTAAGTTGAATGAGGTTTCAGTTGTTGAGATAAGAAGATAGATTGCAGGGGGTTAAGAAGAGAGTGAGAGGACAGGAAATGGAGGTACCCATGTAGATGGCCCTCTCTTTCTCAGGGAGTTTAGTCAAGAAGGGAAGGAGAGATTTAGTGTTCGGTGATTAGCTTGAACTCACTCATGAAAGCCAATTGTTAAATTTTCAGTGTGAGCATTTATACCTTGGACACTAGGTAAACACTACAAATCAGGGCTTGATTTATTGTTTTGTTGATTGCTTAGACTCAGGAA